TTTTGGTCTTTTTGAGACAGGGTCTCCCTGTAGCCCCAGCTGTCCTGGAACTCACAAAGATCTGTCTGCCTCTGCCTCCCAAGTGCTGGGATTAAAGGCGTGCACCACCACACCCGGCAGAATACTCTATTAAAAAAAAATATTTTATTGGGGCTAGAGATGGCTCAGTGCTTAGGAACATGGACTGCTCTCGCAGAGGACCCGGGTTCAATTCCCAGCACCCACAATGGTGGCTATGAACTGTCCTTAACTCCAGTTCCGGGGAATCCAAAGCCCTCTTCTGACCTCTGTGGCATTGCATGACACGGGTACACTCATATACATGCAGGCAATACAGTCATACACATAAAATGAAAATGTTAAAATATTTTTTAAAATTTTATTATTTTCATTTTGTATGACAGTATTGCTTGCATGTGTGCTGTAAGTGTGCCTGCACTGAGCACAGAGCTCAGAAGAGGGCAAAGGATCCCCTGGAACTGGAGTTACAGGCAGTTGTTAGCTGCCATGTGGGTGCTGGGAATTAAACCCAGGTCCTCTGCAAGAGCAGCCAGTGTTCTTAACCTCTGAGCCATCTCTCCAGCCCCGAGAATACTCTATTTTAAAGAAGATTCTTAAATTCCGCATTTTCAGTTATTTTTTTCTGCCATCATTCCCAGTAGAGTTACCTACACTTCTGCATTGCAGTCAACCCCTTAGGAAACTTCACCCTGTCCAGCCACTTGCCCTCATTTGAACCTTTCAGCAGCCCCGATACAGGTTAATTTTCTCCTGCTTTGCTCAAGGACTATAACATTGCTTTCTTTCCAGAATAAAAGCGAACATTTCTTCATAGTGAATACAGAAGGTAAATATTTCACCTTGCTTCATCTTTGATCTCACTTAAGCTGGAATCCTCCTTCAGTTGTAGAGAATCAGCTGTCTCAGTCGTTGGTGTAGGTGCAGATTCTTTGAAAACCCACTTTTGATCTTTTTTCTTTACGTCCTTCAGCGGCAAGGCAGGACTACCCCTTAAAAACACAATCCTTTAATAAAGCCAATGCTTTTAAAAATTAATGCTACTGACAAAGAATACAGAAATTTGGTCAAATTTTTACTCCTACCCATCTTAATTTATTGAAAATAGTTAATGAAGTACTAGCAAAACATGTGCTCAACCAACAAATAGATACACAACTACAGGACAATGTGACATGAGAAGCTCCACCCGAGCAAGGAAAGCTCTACAGAAGAGGCAGTGCACAAAAGGGCTCACTGGGGAAAATGGCAGATGCCCGCTCCCCTCAAAGAACAGAATAAGCACAAAGATTAAGCGCTTTGTAGGAGCTCAAAAGGCATCAAATGCAAAAGTGCAAGTAACAAGAGATGAACAGTGAATAAAACTTGACCACTACACTACAGGTGGTGCTCTGCCTACAGGCAAAGGCTTGTAGACTTGAGAGTAAAGGTTAGATCTGTGCTCCACTTTTAGTTTTGAAATTTAATGCTGCTTAATGACATTTTAAAAATCGTATGAGACATAATATAAATCAGAAAATATCTTGTTGAGAAACTGCATTTTAAAACACTCATTTTATTACATAATACTCAAAACTTGCAATATTTTTATTTAGTTATGATTTTTTTTTTTTTAGAAAAGTAAAATGTTTTCCTAACTTTTGTACACGCTCAGCTTAGTATCTAACCATATTTTAAAAAGGTTGAATTTGGGACCACTGAGATAGTTTAGCAGATAAAGGTATCTCATGACCGGAGACTGATTCCAAGTTCCCACATGGCGGTGAGAATTAACTCTTGCGTTGATCTCCACACCTGCACCATGGTGTGTGCTTGCTTGCACGGACACACATGCACACAAACTTACAAGTAAGTGAACGAATGAACAAATGTAATAAAAAGCAAAACCGAAACTCTCCTAGTTGGTAATGTTGTTGGCAAGAAGGCAGATACCATGGCAGCTGGCAGCTTCCAGTGGCAACTTAGCAGTGTTACAGGTATTACAGAAAATTTACTTAAAAATAAGTCTTCAAACTAAACGTGGCAAATATACTTTGTGGATAATCAGTGCACTACAGATCCAACTTCATTTTCATATGGCTGCATGCTACATCATTTTATTAACATGACAACTTAATGTTTTCTTTATTGGTAAGTATTTAGATTATAACCAATTTAAGCTATGACAACACAATATACATATCCTTAACATATATGTGTATATGTAATGTTTAAATAAATACCAAAAACAAACATCTGTAATGTATATGTATCATTTGCCTATCTGATGTACACATAATACACAGCTATCCTTAACCTATGTATGCACATAAGTATTTGTAAGTCATGTTCTTCTGTCCCAGAAGGATTCAACCCCAGGAGTGAAGCTGCTGAGTTAGAGAATGGCAGATTTCCAACTACGATACAGACTCCTAAGTTATCCTCAAAAGGTATTTACCAATTTCATTTACCAACAGAGCACAAGAATGCTTTTACTTTTGCCAATAATCCAAGGTATTATTTTTTAACAAAATATTAATATAATTAGAAAAATTTTCCCTTCTTGCGTATATGTTTCTGACCATCATGTAAGGTTAAATATTTCTAATACATGCATAAAATGTATTATAATAGCAGCCCAAATGAGAACGGCTTCGCAGGACATAGCAGCTGTACCCTGCTCTGCATTGCCATGGCCTTACCAACCACGTTCTTTACTCTCCTTCACAGAAAATCCTTGATCAGCTTTTCCATTCTGCTGATTTAATCCATCAACATCTCTGTCAGCAGCACCATTGCAGAGGTTTTCTGATATTTCTGTTTTATTATATTTTTGTACTCTTTTTTCTTCAACCTTTAATGAAAATGTGATAGTAAGGATAACCTGCTTTTCACAAAAAGGACCTCTTTTATTTTCCCTGATTTTTATGACTTGATAGTTTAACTGTCAGATTTCAGTCCATAACATATTTTTGGGCTTAATTTAGTCAAGTCACGTGTGGTAGTTTGAGAAATGTCTTTCCTAGGCTCAAATATTTTGAACTCTTTGTCTCCCCCTACCCTCAGTTGGTGGCACTGTTTGGGAGGTCATGAAATCTTCAGGAGGCGCGGCTTTGCTTCCTGTGTGCTTGAAGATGTGTGTGTCCATATGTATGTGGGTTCACAGAGGCCAACACTGGGTGTCCTGCTCCATCACTCTCTGCCTTATTCCCTTGACAGAGGGTCTCTCCCTGAACCTGGAGCTTTTCATTTTGGCTCCGCTGACTGGCTACTCAATTCCCAGTATCTGCCTATCTCTGCCCTTTAGCACTGGGGTTATAGCCACACATAGCCATGTCAGGCTCTTTTTACACGGGTGCTGGGGTATGAACTCAGGTCCTCATGCTTGCACAGCAAGATGGCACTCAGGCATCTTCCCAGCCCTATTTCAAGTTTTATAACAAGTTAAGATGTTTTATAAAATTAAATATAGTGATTGGAAAGATGGCTTGGAGTTAAGAGCACATACTGCTCTTGCAGAGGCTCTGAGTAGGGTGGCTCATAATCACCTATAACTCTACTTACAGGGGATCCAATGCCCTCTTCTGACCTCCAGGGGCACCTGCACACATGTGCACATAGCCACACATACATATATATGTAATTAAAAATTAAAACTTTAGGCTGGTTGTGGTGGCACACGCCTATAATCCCAGCACTCAGGAGGCAGAGGCAGGCAATCTCTGTGAGTTCAAGGCTAGCAGCCTGGTCTACATAGTGAGTTCAGGCCAGCTGGGGCTACAGGGAGACCCTGTCTCAAAAAGACCAAAAGATTGGAAAGATGGCTTGGAGTTAAGAGCACATACTGCTCTTGCAGAGGCTCTGAGTAGGGTGGCTCATAATCACCTATAACTCTGCTTACAGGGGATCCGATGCCCTCTTCTGACCTCCAGGGGAACCTGCACACATGTGCACATAGCCACACATACATATATATGTAATTAAATATTAAAACTTTAGGCCACCACACCCGCCTATAATCCCAGCACTGGGGAGGCAGAGGCAGGCGGATCTCTGAATTCAAGGCCAATCTGGTCTACAAAGTGAGTTCCAGGCCAGCTGGGGCTACAAGGAGACCCTGCCTCAAAAAAAAAGACCAAAAAAATTGAAACTTAAAAAAAATTAAATATTGAATTATAATCTACTGATCCTAAATGGCTGTTCTAAAAGGTAATTTCATCAAACATATCTATATTATTAAAACAAAGAATACAGCATTAAACCAGAAATTTAAGTTTATATTTTTACATACCTGTAGCTGCCTATTTTCATTGCTATTAAGCCATTTTTGTTCTTTTCTTGATATTATTTCTAAGTCTGGTTCTGCTAAAAAAAAAAATGCATATATTTAGTTAAACTACATTGTTAGATCAAAGTCTTACTAAAACAGACAAAATAAGCTGGGCTTGGTGCTACGCCTTTAATCCCAGCACCAGAGAGGTAGAGGCAGGTGGATGTCTGTGAAATTGAGGGAAGCTTGGTCTACAAAGTGAGTTACAGGTCAGCTGGGACTACAGGGGGACCCTGTCTCAGGATAACAAGACAAAACAAAAATAGACAAATAATATTTTTTTAAATTAAAAGTTAAACATTTAAAAAGTGTAATCATTACCTAAATATTTACTTCCTTATGAAAAAACTTCAGTGACTTATATAGAGTGACATTAGCTAGAACCAAAACCACTGCATAAAAAAATACCAGCCGGGCGTGGTGGTGCACGCCTTTAATCCCAGTACTCAGCAGGCAGAGGCAGACGGATCTCTGTGAGTTCAAGGCCAGCCTGGTCTACATAGTGAGTTCCAGGACAGCTGGGGCTACAGGGAGACCCTGTCCCCAAAAGACCCCCCCAAAAAAAACAATTCATGCACAAATTTACACATTCTACATAAACCCTCATAAAAGAAAAATTAACATGCCAAAGAAACATAAATTCACACACTATACACAACTATTTCATTACAGTGAATTTTAAACAAGCTGCCAAGTATATTTTAATAACTTATAGCTTCTAAAATTACTGTTATTTCTTATAGTTTTATCACTGAATATTATACCGAAACTGTTTTGTCCATGATTCTGATTTCTTTTATTCTTTTAAGACTCAGTCTAAGTGAAGCCTTCCCTGAGGCTATCTTAGTACTTTGTCAGTTTTCCAATTCCTGTATCTTTACCACCCAAACCATACCTTCTTCTTTACAAGTGTATTCCTTTTGCTCCTGTACTAGATGGGATACCCTTAAACTACCTATGTGTGACGGCTTTGTTTACTTCACTCAAGATCCATTTACCGGAGTTCCCGCTAAGTACGAGGAACTTGGGTTCAAAGAGTTTAAATGAAGGCGTCAGAGGACAGCTCTTCCAAAGGTAAACCACAAGGCTAGGCAGATTAAGGGCAGAGGCTGGAAGAGCACGAAAAGCAGTGGCCCGAGAGAGGTGTCAGTGGGTATACATTTATCTAAAGATAAGACTGGTGAGGACATCATCAGTCGCTTAATGATGTCACAAGTAAGGGGAGACAGAAGAAAGAGCTAAGCATGGAGACAGAGGCTTCCATCAGTATATGAAAGACTTATAGGTAACTTAAAAATATGCTTGGGGACTCAGCGGTTAAGAGCACTGGCTGCTCTTGCAGAAGACCCAGGTTCAATTCCTAGCACCCACACGGTAACTAACAACCATCAGTGACTCCAGTTCCAGGGGATCTGATGCCCTCTTCTGACCTCTGCAGGCATTACATGACACAGGTGCACTTACATATATGCAGACAATACACTTGTACACATACATAATAACTAAATAAAAATAATAAATAAAATATTAAAAAATATGCTTGGACCTTGACGTTTTACAGTGTTCCATGATGCTAGATCACTCTAAATGCCGTGAGCAGCATGACTGAGGGGCTTATGAAAGGAGGCGGGTGAATGTGAAGACAACAGTGCAAAACAAAGATGCAGACCTGGACTGAGGGGATGCTTCTAAAAATATTTAGGACACAACATCAGTGCCTAGGATAGAAAGAAATTTCATTAAATGAATAAATGTACAAATCTGAGTTCTTAGAGAACTAGACTCTTGTTATTACAAAGGTATCAAAGAAAACGTCAAATAAAAAAGGGAGGCTGGAGAGAGGGCTCAGTTAAAAGCACTTGCTGCTCTTGCAGAGAACCTGAGTTCGATTCCCAGCACCCATGTTGGGCAACTCACAGCAGCCTGTAACTCCAGCACTGCACTCACATGCACACACACACACACAATTAAAAATAGCAGGTTTTTAAAACTATGAAATGAACTACGTGAACAGTTTAAGTAGCTTATGTTTATTTGTAGTTTCTGTTTCACACGTTCTTATGTTGAGGGAAGTCAATGCTAAACAAAAAGAACAAGTCATTTGCATTGTTAAGAAACCAGATCTGGGCTAGCAAAAGGGTTCAGCAGGTAAAGGCTCTTGCCTCCATGCCTGATGACCTGACCTAACTCTGTGGGACCCAATAGTAGAGGGAAAGAACCAACTCCTACAAGTTGTCCTCTAACCTCTACACGTGCACCACAGCATATACATGCCCACCATACTTATGCACACACACAATAAATGAATGTAATAATGATGAGGAACAATCTACCTAATGTGGAACTATGACCTCAGTATAACTCTGTTCTGTATGTAGATGAGCAGGAACTAACAAACTGAGTAATAACCTTGTGCATTCCCAATAATGACTTTGGAAGCTTCTACTTCTACTCCAATCATACTGGGACATTTTCCACTCTGAGCTCAGTCTCAGGCTGAGACCACACAGGACAGACAACAAAAACCAGTCTGTGAACTTAAGGAAACATCTGCTGACAATGAGTCATGTCTGTTAAAACGGGGTTACACTGGCATCAGCAGTGCATCACGTTACCAGCAGTGTCACAACCCTTGCCCATACTTGCCAGAAATACCTGCTTTTGTAAAAAAGCTAACCATTTAACTTTCCTGTAATAGCCTAAAGGCACATACACTTCTGAGCTGAAAGTCTCAAATCCACAAATACCATTACTGCCAAAGGAAGACATGAAACATTCTATAAAAACTTATATTATTTTTGGTTTTGAGCAGGAGCTCGGACTGGGGCCCACATGTAATAAAAGGGAAAAGTTTTGCTCTCTGAGTATGGTTTAGATCTTTTCGTTGTACCAGGCTAGTCTCAGTCTTTTTGAGATGAGTCTTCTTGTAGCCCAGCTGTCTTGGAACTTACTAGGTAGACCAGGCTGGCCTTGAGCTCTGCCTCCCAAGGGATTAAAGGCATGCACCACCATGCCCAGCACAGTGTAAACATTTTTTAAAGTTAAGAAAAGTAACTGGGGTGCTGGAGAGATGGCTCAGTGGATAAGAACTCTGGTGATTCTTGCAGAAGACCGAGTTTGAATCCCACCACCCACATGGCAGCTAACAACTGTCCGTAACTCCAGTTCCAGGAGATCCAATGACCTCTTCTGTCCTCCGAGGGCATTGCACAATATGGGTGTACTTACTTACATGTAGGCAATACACTCATACACATAAAATAAAAAGTAATAAATGAAATATTTATAAAAAAAGAAAAGTAACTGGACTGACTTATATCTTTTAGCCACTAGTCCAGGAAATAATTGATAATCTTTTGTCAGATACAAAATTAACTTGATAGGTAATAGAAAAATGAAAATATGTATGGTATTAAATGATTAGTTACTACAAAACTGATCACATAACTAAGATGCTACACAAGGTAGTTTGATACACAAGGCAGAACACACATTAGATAGAATTAATACACTATGTGTTGCCACAGAATTGAAACTGGTTTTATTTTTCTCAACAGACAGAGGGAGTCTCATTATATTGCCCAGCTGACCTAAAACTTCTATACAAGTTTCTTCCTGCCTCTAGCTTCCAAGTAAGTTAACTACTGGCAGACACTAAGCCTGGCTATCTTTCCACATAATATTTTTAAATGATATAGCACTGCTTAAAAACCAAATATAAGCCAGGCATGGTAGCACATGCCTTTAGTCCCAGAACTTGAGAGGCAAAGGGAGGCAGATCTCTGGGAGTTTAAGGCCAGCCTGGTCTACATAGAGCATTCCAGGCCAGGCTGGTCTGCATAGTGAGTTCCGGGCCGGCTGGGGCTATAGGGAGACCCTGTCTCACAAAGACCAAAAAACAAAAACCCAAATATGAATTCTTTATTCATCAAGGTTAAGTGTTAAATTTATGTTAAAATTAGCTTAAAGAGGGCTAGAGAGATGGCTCAGTGGTTAAGAGAACTGACTGTTCTTGCAGAAGACCCAGGTTCAAAATCTAGCACCCACATGGTGGCTAACAACCATCTATAACTCCAGTTCCAGGGGATCTGATGACATCTTCTGTCCATAAAATGTCTTTGGGCATTGTATGACACGGGTGCACTTACACATATGCAGGCGATACACTCATACACATAAAATAAAAATGAATGAATAAAAAAAATTAGCTTAAACAAAATGGGTCACTCTTCTAATTCTCCTTGTTATTTATTATATATTGCTTCAGTTAGAGGCATATAAATGTTTTGTTAAGACACTCTGGTTGTAAGTTATGTAAGGGGCATAAGTCACAGAGCAAATTTTGCAGTAAAATATCTGAAGAGGCACATCTGCAGTATGATGAAAATATGCAGAACTACTTTAGAACTGAAGTTTTCTTTACTTTGCTTTCTGTCTGCTCTGAGTCACAGAAAGCATGGAGAGTATAATTTCCTAATAAAAATGGCTGGAATATTCATCTTTCTCTTTCTAGTAAGATCACTTTCCCAAATTTTGTAGGCAGTGATGGAGTTTAAACACTGTGATAGAAATGGATATTTACTACTTTCAAATTTCTGATCTTTGACAAGTCTTAGGCAGGTTCAAATTAGAATTACAATCTGAAAAATCTGAGGATAAAGTTTTCATTTATTAGGCTATAAACAACAATACAAATAATGCCTGTACAATTTTTTTCTTCAGAAAAGCAATCTCATGTCCCCTTGCCCCACAAACTCAACACTCCTTCAAGGACTACTGTATTTTACATGTCCTGTACTTTCCATTCACTCAGATAAGCTCAATTAGCCACTTGTCTTTTCATTTACTAGTATTACTTATTTGATGCACTCCCACTAATTTTCAGAATTCACTTAAAAAAATTTATTATTTTTATTTTTTGAATGTTTATGAATGTACTGCCTGCATGTATGTAAGTGCACCCATGTCCTGCAATGCCCACAGAGGTCAGAAGAGGGTATTGGAGCCCCTGGAACAGGAGTAACGGATGGTTGTT